TATCTTGCACTCTGCCAGATTCTTGATCTCTCACCGCAAGAATAGAGTTACGTACCTTGCAGCAACGCATGCAGAATTGGAAGAGCGAAGTCATGAATTTCTACATCTAGCGTTGATTTCATCCTTGTCATTGGACATCGACAAAGTCTTCAAGCAGTGAAAAGCTTATTGGTCGATCTATCGGTACAGTCGGCTCGCCGGCCCTGTAGCCTGCAAAAATTGGCTGTTCTCGTCTGTGAGATTGATTCAGGCCATATCCAGGCAATGCATTATAGCTCCGCAACGACATGCAGTACCTCGACGCGTTGTCACTCGCTGCCCTTATGCCCTACTTAAAACCGGGATACCTATTCGAATATACCGTATCTAGGTTCAGGCCGGACTATGCGCATTCCTCGACCTACCCGTTGCCACGTCAGAACCAAGATTTCCCGCGTGTATTACCACTTCGGTTCCTGCCGTATTCCTCGGCCCTGATTTCTTCCGGGATATTCTTGTTCCAGCCTGGTCCCGTCGTGCTCTGTGCTTCGGAATGGTTACTACTGGATGGAATTCACCCCGGATTACCTATGCGGTATGAAGGGAGCGCACATCTCAAATAGGTGCTCTATAGCTGTAGCCTATATTGCAAAACACCGTTGACAGACAGAGGACAGACACCAGCACTGAACATTAACGTTCACCGAGTAGTTCGTCCTCAATCGCACTAGTGATTCTGTGCAAGGGGCATGTCTTGCATCGTCCTCGTCTAGGAGGGCACACTACAATAACGAAGGAGACAGACCTGCCACATGCATCTACGTAGGATATAGTACTGCGTACGCTGTATCTGTACATCGCAAGGGGCGTAGAGTCTGCGATACCAGGTACCCCGTACGTCTCCAGCACCCTGCCTTGTCTACAGTTGGTGAGTATGCCATGGGGATGCACGAACTGGCGGTGAGGTCGATTCATACTTCAGGATCAGATGTAAGAACGCGAGTCGACTAAGTAGGGTGGATGGTCACAATCGTTGGAGTGGTCATCGTCGTTTGGCTCTGGAGGCAGTCTCCTTGATTGGGGACTCAGCAGTGAGGTTATCGGCAGCGTATACTGTTGTTATACTGTTTATAAACATGCATCTGCTATACTTTCGCTCAGTCAGGACGAGTCCCTGGTGATGCTACTTCTCGCACTATGAGACTTGCAACTGTGAGGGCAGTGATGCCTATCCTGTGTGCTAGTGCCTAGTATAACTATAGCCCGGATTGAGACTGCGGATGTGCCATTTGGCCAAGGCTATATGGTACTTGCAGTTAAGGCCGTCACATCACATCTAGTACATGTGCTGTTGTATGAGGGGTTGACATCCTCTTGTTGGTGATACTCAGGCTGCTCTACCACGGTCACTCGAGAGAAGTATATACACATTGTAATTTCACTCAATATGAGATTCATCTGCGAGACAGTAAGACAGACAGTTTCTTGGCCTGTTGTCTGGTTGTCTGATTGCTTTGGATATTGTGTTGCTGCGTGACATGGAAATATATACTCAGCTTGAGTTATCCTGGTGCGAACCAGCACCAGTGCCACCACCAACAAAAACAATAATAATCCCCAGGTTAAGCTCACCTCTTCTAGCGACACTCTTCTCTAATTATTCAATCAGAAATTATCCAGAGTATATCATCCGTTGCAAGAAAATTCCCAAAGCGGCAATCCGTTGCCATCACCAGAACGACGCTAACCCAATTTGGTATACAAACTCATAAATTTTCTGCTGTCGCAGCATATCACCACCACCCAATCGCTGCATTCGAAACAAGCAGCTACGGCCCTGAAACTGCTCTACTAGTCTTCAGTAACTTACACCAGATACATATTCGGGCATAAAAACAAAGAAAAGCAATTAATCATGGCGCAAACCTACGCCAGCTCCAAGAAGCGGCGGCGCGAGCCAGTCAACATCGACACCAAACTCGTCGAGATCTACGAGGACCTCGCGAACGAAAAGGACGAGATCCGGCTAAAGGCCGCGCAGGCTCTTGTGTCGCAGTTCACGCCAGACAAGAAGCCTACTGATGAGCAGATCAGAAAGGCCCTGCAGAGACTTTTCCGCGGGCTGTGCAGTAGCCGCAAGGCGGCGAGGATTGGCTTTTCCATTGCTTTGACTGAGATCCTGACGCAGGTTTTTGCGGCGCAGCGAGAAGAGTCGGAGATTACTATCCCGGCTGTTCTGGGTATCTGGGAGGCGCAGTCTAATTCGTCGGGGAGCGAGACGGGACAGGTACGCTGCTTTGGTCATTTGTGTTGTTGAATTACTTTTTGCTGATTCTTGCGCAGGAACAAAGAGATCATCACTTTGGACGGCTGTTTGGAGCAGAAGCTATCGTCAAGTCGGCCGTTCTGTTCAAGGGCGAAGTGCCGCCGGCGGAGTGGACCAAGCTTTTGGATTTGGTGTTTGATCTAGCGAAGAAGAAGCCGTGGATTAGAGAGGAGTGCGGCTGGATTATCTACCGCTGCGTTTTTGATCTTGCTTCGCAAAAGGCTGGTGCTAAGTATGTGGAGGTCGCGCTGGAGCGGCTCTGTGCAAACGATCTCGCTCGTACACCGGAGGGCGTCTCGATCTGGCTGGCGGCCAAGGAAGCCTACCCCAAGGCTGAGTTCCCTAGCAAGATTTGGAAACGTGATGACCCGCTGGATTCACGGGAGAGGAACCAGCTTGCCAAGGTCATGAAGGATTCCTCGGCTGCGGACTCCGAGGCGGGAAGCCAGGGGAATAATCCCAAGTCATCTGGAGTGTGGAGCTCCAAGTTGCACTTTGCTTGGGATGCTGTTATCAGGCAGCTTGCTGATGTGTCAGCCAAGCACTCGTCTCGTCTCAGCTTTGCTGATTTCTGGACGGAAGTTGTTGACAGTAAGTTCACGTTCTTGGTTTTTGTCGCTTTCCAAGGAAACGCATCTGACAAGTCATTAGATGGCCTCTTCGCGGCATCCTCGTCCGATGAACGCAAGTACTGGGGCTTCCTCGTCTTCATCAAAGTCCTCAATGAATGTCCCCTGCAGCTCGCTTCTGTTGTATTCACCAAGAACCTCGTCAGATGCCTGACGAACCAGCTCGCCGTCGAGGACCGGTACCTTCACAGGATGGCCGTCAAGGCCGCCAAATCGATCCAGGCCCGTGTCGCAAAAGATCCCGAATTCGCCGCGGCGTCTGTCATTGGGCTCATGGGCTCCGCCGGTTCCGTCAACTTCGACCAGGCCACCAAGACGAAGACGATCGAAAAGATTGTCGTCGAGGCAAACCTCGATGCACTGAAGCAGATTGTGCCTTTCTTTGAGAACCTCATCGCGAGCCCCGGGACGGACGATGCCAAAGTGGCAGCAGCAAGCCGCCAGTCTCTCGCCGGTCTGCTCTTGTCTATCGTGAGATCCCGAGCGTCGGCCAGCGACGAGTCTCAGGACGGTCTGCAGGCAGTCCTGGAGCAGATTCTGTTCACATTCGTACGGTTCGGCTATTTCATGCCCAAGGACGATGGGGCTGTCCAGCCGGCCTTGACTGAACAGAGCCAGGAGCTCTTCCGAAACAGAATCAGCTCCTGTCTGAACAGTCTTATTGCCAACCCAAAGTATGCGACTACCCTTCCATACGCTGTTGGAAAGAAGATCCGCGACGCCGCCAAGTCGGAGGAGTATGGCAAGTTCATTATCAACATGGACGAGACTCTGCGTGACTCGGTCAAGACTGCTTTCAAGTCTTTGAAGAAGCTGTCCAGCATGGTGAGTATTTTGACATTTCCGAAAAATGTTACTTTTTACTGACTGACTGAAACAGGAAAAGAATGAGGTCCCGGGCGTCGAGGCGTTCAAGCTTCTGTATTCGATGACAATCCTGCAGGTGTACAATGGCGATGCCGATGCGGTATCCATGCTTGACGAGCTTGATTTCTGCTACACCAAGTTCCTGGGCGACAAGAAATCAAAAGACGACGAGGCCTCCGATGCTTCTGATGCGCTGGTGGAGATTCTTCTGAGTTTCGCGTCGAAGCAGTCGCAGCTCTTCCGCCGTATGAGTGAGCAGGTGTTCAGCGCTTTTGCCGACAAGGTCACCGAGAACGGCCTGGAGTCCCTTGTATCTGTATGTCCAGCCCTCTCGGCATCTAGTTCCAGTGCTAACCGCGATGTCAGATTCTGGAGGCCAAGGAAAGTCTAGCTGGTCAGCAAGAAATGTTCGAGCAGCAGGACGACGAAGAGGACGAAGATATGCTGGACGTCGACGAAGACGACAGTGACGTCGAAGTCATCGACGCAGAGAATTCCGACGAGGACGAAGAGGAGGACGACGCCGCGTCTGAAGAAGGCGAAAACGAAGAAGAGATGGCCGCCTTCGAAGCCAAGCTGGCCGAAGCCCTCGGGACGCACCGCGCCGATCAAGACCTCAACGAACAATCCGAGGACTCCGACGCGGACATGAACGACGACGAGATGGAGCAGGTCGACGAGCAGCTGGTCAAGGTATTCCGCGCGCGGCGGGACGCCCTGGGCCAGAAGAAGGACAAGAAAGACGCCAAGGAGAACATGGTCAACTTCAAGAACCGCGTGCTCGACCTGCTGGAGATCTACGTCAAGAAATGCCACTCGAAGGTCCTCGCTCTTGACCTCCTTCTCCCCCTGCTGCGTCTGACCCGCAAATCGACCGTCAAGCAGCTCGCCAATAAGGCGAGCGGTGTGCTCCGCGAGTATACGAAGTTGTGCAAGGGTAACGCGCTTCCGTCGCTGGACTCGACCGAGCCGGTGTGGGAACTGTTGAAGTCCATCCACGCCGAGGCGACGCATAGTGGTCCGCCTGCGCATGCTTCGGCCTGTAGCCAGGCAAGCTTGTTGGTGGTCAAAGTGCTGGTGGCGCACGACAAGAACGCCATTGCGGATGTGGTGGATGTGTATGCGGCTACGCGCAAACAGCAGCTTCTCAGCAAGAAGTGTCATGTCCAGCCTCAGTTTTTCTCCGACTGGAACAACTGGTGTGTTTCTGCCAGCAAGCAGATGAAGAATTAGTTAGCTAGCTAGATACCTTCCATGCATAGTGTACAGCACATATGATGCAAAATACTTTGATCTGTGGATATTTGCCAACGTTTGCTACCTCAAAATCCTTTAATATACCGATGCTGCGTCGTCTCCTCCAACACCTCCAGCTTCATCCCCACCTCAACAACCCCCTCGTCCCGCGGCGCACTCAACATCCCAAAGCAAGGCTTATACTTGATCCCCTCATCCACCCGCCGGTACGTCATCAGCGTATCCCACGGCTGCCGCTTATGCTTCTCCGCCGTATCGGGATCAACATTCGGCACCTGACAGCGCGCACACCGCGCCACAACATCCAAATCCAGCGGCTCCCGCCCACAGCCACTAATCCGGACCGTCTTCCACGAATCCTCCGCCCAAGGCACCGTGCCCCGGACGATGATATTCGGCCGGAACCGCTCAACGGTAATCGGCTGCGCACCGTTCCGCCGCAGTCGCTGGTTGAGCTCCGCCAGGGACGCCTCGGAGGCGATCTGCACGGGATGCACGTCGGGGAAGTTTGTGCTCTGCGGCCGGCCCAGCAGGCGCGGGTCGCCATTGCCCTGCAGGATGCGCGGCGTGGGGCCCTTGTAGGCTAGACAAACATCGCGCTGCAGGAACCTGGCGAAGGGCGCGTTGACGGCGTCCCCGTAGAGATGTCCGTCTGTCAGCGTGTCCCAGACCTTGACCTGGGCGAGGGTGGTGTGGGCCGCTAGCCAGGCGGGGTCTGGGCGGGCGGGGATTTGGATCCTCTCGTCGGATCCGGTGATGCTCAGCAGGAGGGAGCTGCCGTCGTCGCTGAGGGCGGTGTTGATGAGGGTCATGCGGGGGATTTGGCGGATGGTGAGGAACTCGTGGGTTTTTGCGTCTACGAACATCCATTGGCGGTCGAGGTCTAGGCCGTGTAGGCGGAGGGTGGTTCTGGGGAGTTCAATCCCGCGGCAGGACTTGATGGGGTAGATGCGTAGAGAGACGATCTCGCTGCTGGTCTCTTTTTGTAGTCCGAGGGCTTGGAGTAGACTGGATTTGTTGGTGCTTGATCTTGCCCATTTTATGACTCTTGGGGCGAGGACCACGAGGAGCACCCCGATGGCGGCTACTGGGAGGACTTTAGAGGAGAATTCCATATTTTGTCTGTCTTGTTGTTGTCGGTCATGCGACACTTGAATCTTCTTCCACCCGTGGACCTTTCCGTTGTTATGTTGCGCATAGATATCTCGATTTCCATGGTTCATGGATCGATAAGCAAATATACAGAAATTCTGCCGGAATCTGCCGGAATCTGCCGCCTTTAAACCTTATCGTCATGATGATGTGTCAGGTCATGCTTGCCTTGGCCGTTAACATTGCTGATAAATCATATCGAAGCAGTGCACTATAGTCCTGTAATGGCGGGAACAAACATTGTTTAAGCATTCGTCGGGTGAGCTGGACCATTGGGACGGATGTAATCGTGAACCTCGGCTGATTACCGAAGAAGCATTAGTAGACTATCAATGATTAGATCAATAAACTAGATGTTTGTCATCATCTAAGCACCCAAGCTATGCGTATAAGTCATGCAAATCATGAATGTACTAATCCCCCATCACCATGCATTTACATCGTCCTGTCCGCCCAGCATGTGATTAGAGCCTTGATTAATGCAATGGTAACCTCTCGCCCGGTCTGGACAGCTTGATCGTTATAGCCACCAGGGACGTGCAAGAAGACCACATTCCGGTCCAGGCCTTGTTTAAAGGCATGCGCCAGACTGGTGTAGAAGATGAACTCGCAGAGATAACGGCCGGCATCTTCCGAGAGCCGGACGTCGGCCCCGGCGGCAAATGACTTCCATATACTAAGGAGCTTGTCGTTCGGTGGATGTGGGTTCCAGGAAGACTGTACAGCTTGCGACGATGGAGTTACCACTTGATCATGTGTCTTGTCTGCAATATCCGAGATAGATAGGGGATTGGTGGATCTGCCCGCCTGCAGCAGAGGAGGCAGGTCATGCTCTCTCCATCGTTTCTCTCCAGCTTCGTAACCCGAGCGCCCTTCGATATCCGACATAAGATACGAGTCTCGGTGTGCCTTTGTCTCGACGGAATAGTACTGTCTTGTTGCTGCTATGCCCATGTGGATGACAATATCTGGTCGTCGACCGCCGTGTGTTTTGGCATAATCATCGACTATGGAAGGGACGGTTGATTGGACCGTCGAATAAGAGACGGGGATAGGGTTCGGATGGACATGGATGAATACTCGATGAGTCGTAGTGGGTCCCTCTGGGGATGCGGATGAACTTTGTGGAACAGTAAAGGTGAACGAAGGAGGAAGGGATGAGGCGATCAAGTACGAGGCATTGACGAGGTTAGTCTTGAACGGCTAGTAGCTAGTCAGTATGAGCTTGCACTTGTGACAAAGGGTAAAGTGAGAGGAAAAACTGAAGCTGCCGGACGAACTTACACCAAACCCAGTGACGAGAATGTTGATATCATCCGAGTCCGCAGAAGATAGTGAAGGATGCCCCGCAAGTTGAGTGTGGATGGATGGGACAGATGGTCCGCAGTCACCCATGGTGATAACAGATAGAACTAACTGCTGATGATGGAGGGGAGATCAGGATGTGTCAACTGAGACACTGAAATATCTTATTCCTCTGGTGTTCAATAACATGCAGAGCTTCAGTCCCAACCCCCTTAGATCAGCATGGATATATGAAATTGGCTCTCAAGGAGGGGACATGTTCTCCGAGGTCATATGTACCACTTGGAGCTGGACCTTGTCCTTATCTCTTCCTCCGGGGACCCCGCATACCTGACGAAACTGGTTAAGTGGGTCTTGGCATCACGGGATCCCCAACTAGCCTTTGGATGCCATATTCTGGCCTGAGGCCTGAATCTGGGGTCCTCTTATTCTTGATATCTCAGGTTGTTCTTGCAATGAGCAGGAAACACCTTAATACCTAATTTATAGAGCCACAAGTGCGCTGGTGCCAACATGACTGTTCTGTTTATGCAGAAATTTAACTAACAGCCCAGTTTCCAAGAGTGAATATCCAGTCATAGAGATGAGCATCAGCATTCACATTGCTTGCCATAAAAGAGTGAATAAAATAACTCACATCTCCTTCTTAGGCTTTCTAGTCCATGCTCTCTTCTCTTCTCTAGTATCTCATACGCTCAAACTGTGGAATCAGACTAAATGGAACTTACCAGCAAAACAGATGACCCTCAACATGGGATCCATGACCCCACATTGGCCAGATCTCCAACCAACACAGGATCAATTCGGAGTTGAAAATTGATACCTTCCATATGAGGACCATGACTGCCGGAGCCAAACCCCGGTGCGACGCAAGGTACCTATTGACAACAAGAGTACCGAAAAGCGGTTACTGAACATATCTGTGGTACCAGAACTGCCATTATAGCTGTTACACGGGAGATCAATACGGAAGAAGACAAGATGCGCAATTGAATCAGTTCAATTGCTCCATACAGCAAAAAGCTTACAACTACTATCGACACTATACAGCATAGTAGACACATCAAAACGACAACGAAAAATGCCAAGATAACACGCAAGGCTGGTACTGCAAAGGGAATAGGGAAGCAAAGGATTACCCCGGCGAGTATTGCCTCATTATCTCCAGAATTGGGCGAGAGCTCAAGGTCCACTCGTGATAAAGCCGGGAATGAGCGTCAGGCCGGTGGTCCGTCAGAACGGGCTGGATATAATGCTTCCATCCCTTACTCCCAGACCGACGATGAGCACTTCTACGCGGACGATCACACCAACGATGATGCCCGTAACATTCGGTGAGATAATAGCGGCGAGCCATGAGTATTCAAGGCTGACTCTTCAGGAAACCTTGTGTCGCAGTAATCAACACACTGTGGCTGCGAATTATGCCCACCGAAGTACACACCGCCAGCCACGCATGACTCAAAACGAGATATTCGGTTGGTCGTCGTCAGGCATAATGAATTGAATCCCCCCCAATGAGTCCAAGTTTTTACTGCTTGGTCAGCGACTAGTGAGTAATGACCACATTTGGGCCGCGAGTTTTCTAGACCATGTATGGAGTTCTGATTCTGTTGATATTCTCAGTTGCTAAATTTGTTCAGGCTGGAATACCGCGTGCGAGTTCTTTCTTGGGGCCTCACTAGGGGTCATAATTGGGACAAGGCAACAACAGGAACATGGTTATACGCCTTGAAACAGACCCACTTCTGGCTGCTGGACGAGTGGCTGTTTAAGTTCGCTGGCTGGGTGTGTACATATTCCCCTTCACTTTTGCGAAAGGGGCTGAGAACATGGGTATCTTGACCCGTCTAGTCTGCATCCACAGGTACACGCCTGCTGAGGCTTTATTCGGGTTCAAGGCGCCGTTCATAAATGATCCAGTTCAAGTAACTCCCTCCAGGTTTCATCTACTTGCAGCCTTGCAAGCGGGGATATCATTAGAGATGAAGACTTGATGAAATACCCCTAGGGTCGACTGGCATATGCACTGCAAGCCATCTTAACTAAAGCACCTGGTTACACCAAGGACGCACTCTTTAGGTGCTGTCTTGCTGATGAGGGCTTCTGCCAGCATAGATGTGAGGTAAAGTCTGTTGACATACTGCTGCACTATTATTTCTACCAGCTAGAAATTATTGTCTTGACACTGTTCTAGATCAGTGGGTTAAGTGCATTTAACAAAGTACGCTTGCTCTCTCATGCTTCTAAAAGACGATATAGGCCCATCGCAAGGAACTCCGAGTTAACGCTTGAGATACCTTTAGCACTCTATAGATTACTTCACTATACACGGCGACACTATCTAGCAGCTGACCATTAGTTCATCTCGGGTAGCGATTAGAGATGAGGAAAGCTAGGTCATAAGGGCCTTCCCTGCCTAGCCATACAGGCTGTGTATGGCACCTAAGTAGGTAATGCCATTTACAGTTGGTATATACAGAGGGAAGCAATTATTTACACCCCAAAAGACAACAGCACAGCCTCCTTGATTCGAGATACTGCAGGTTCGCAAACAGGTAGAGAGTTAATTTTTGGTCGCATGATACTCTATCTGCAGGAGAGTGCAATAGGGCAGCAGGGCTTATATGTACCTAGACCCTACCAGGCGCCGATTAGCTTCCTAGAGATTGGTGTTGTTATGCAAGTCTCAGCAAGGCTAAGGCAACTTGTATACTCCGTAGTATGAGAGGGTATATATCAGTCAGTGAAGTGAATGAATCCTCATTGACTCTAAGAAGTGTGACTATAGGTCTAACCTCAAGCTACAGCAAAGGCAAGACGAGACCGCGGGATATCTGCTGAGACATATGTCCGACCGCCCCCGATCCTGCGCTGGGAGTTGGAATAACCCTAGTTAGCTTGCCAGTTGCCAGCTTGTTGACGGGGGATGATGTTTGAAGCGAGTCTCGAAAGGGTAAACGCTCATTCAAAAGTCCTAGTCCAATTACCTACAGCTGTCTACCCTTGATTCCGCCAATCTGAAACCCGGACTTATGATACTAAGGCCTGTCGTCGTATTGCGTATAGGACAGCTGTTACTCCGTACTTCGCTTAACATCCGATCGACGACCAGTGGATAGAATCAGCCAATTATGGGTTGCAGATTTCTCCTCCTCCGGAGCTAACGAGTAAAGGATCTTTTTGGCACCCGTCTCCATGGACCACATCTGACTGGCGATTGGGCAGAATGGCTTTTGGACTAGACGTCGTGGCCCACCTTGAATGCCGCGATCAAGAAACCCATCTGCAGCTAAAGCAGCGAATTTCCCTATTGGGATAAACATCCTGATTGAAGTCGTGCGCGGACACCATGGGGGTTTCCGTTGAGCAATGATTCAGCGGCCCAGCTAGTGTCATGCTCGCATAGAACTCTGATTTGGTAGAACTAGAACTCCCCTGCCGGATATTAACAATGAGACAGAAGCTGGGGCGATGCAATGATCTCGCCACGGAGCAACGGGTAAAGGCTGATGTCGTATCCGATGTATTCTGTGAATGAGTCCCCGCACGGAACTACAGATACCCGTGAATCCAAAATAGAGGCAACCCTGCTTTGTATAGGGTCTATATAGCTCAGTGAAGGCAGCGGGGTGGCAGCGGGGTTTCATATATACCTCACCACTGCAGCGGAGTGGTCATTTTCTCTCTTCTTTCCTGCTGCACCACTGATCTCAAAGCAATCAACAATCAACATGGCGTTGATCTCCGAGTTGCTCCAAAGCCCATACTTTCTCCAAGGCATTGCTGTGTCCTTGCTTTTGGTGGTTGTGTCGAACTTTTATCGGGAGCTTGTGGATGGCTTTCCCTACCGGAACATACCCCTTGTTGGGAGGAGCAGATGGGAAATCACCAACAGCAAAGCCAAAGAGCGCTTCGTGGCGTCCGCGAAAGACCTCTTTGCGCAAGGCTTCAGTCAGGTCTGAGTATGTGTCCTGTTTGATATGTTCGAGGAGCTGACATAGGGTTAGGGCAGGACTGTCTTTCAAATGATGTTCTCTCACTCTCCCATGATCGTCCTGCACCCGCGGTACATAAGTGAGATCAAGAGCCATCCGCACCTGGCCTTCGACGAAGCTAATAAGAAGGTGAGTCTCCAAAACTGCCAATAGGGAAGTTGTGCTGACAATGCAGGCCTTTTTTGGCGCCAAGATTCCCGGATTCGAGCCTTTTGGACTAGACAAGGAAAACATCGCCATTGAAGTCATCAACAAAAAGCTAACTCATACACTTGGTATGTGACGTTGAAGTGTGGTGCAGACCTGCCTCTTGCTCACTGACCGACTGTGCAGGTAGCCTTACCACCCCTCTTTCCAGAGAGACCGCGGCTGTGCTCAAGGAGACATTGCCTCCGAAATCTGATGGTATGTCCTCCCAGTGGGCACATTTGCCCCCTTTCTGACATGACAACAGAATGGCAATCTCTGGTCTTCGCCCAGGAGATTCCATACATAGTTGCCCGATTGTCGTCCCTTGTATTTATGGGTGAGAAGGTCTGCCGTGACAAGGAATGGCTGCATGTGTCTGTCAACTACACTATCGACGCATTCGTCGCTGCGCGTGATCTCAGACTCTGGCCCTCGATCACGCAATCTCTGGTGCACTGGTTCCTGCCGTCAACACGAAGACTCCGGAAGGACATTAGCGTTGCGAAGAAGATCGTGCAGAAGGAGATCGAAAAACGAGAACTGATCCGGCAAGGCAAGCTCCCGGCAGACAATCCTCCAAAGCCCGACGATGCCCTCGACTGGTTCAGAGAAGTTGCTGCCGGCCGCCCGTATGACATGACGAAAAGCCAGATCGGTCTTTCTCTGGCAGCGATCCACACTACTTCCAACCTGTTGACGAACGTCATGTACGACTTGATAGCCTACCAGGAATACATCCAACCCCTCCGGGATGAGATTGTTGCCGTCCTGAAGGAGGACGGATGTCTGAAGAAAACCAGCCTTACCCAGCTGAAGCTGATGGATAGCTTTATGAAAGAAAGCCAGCGGCTGAACCCTGTCAGCATCTGTAAGTGACTGCTACCTGAGGAGCTCTTGGAGCCCCATAGCGCTGACTCTTCCAGCCTCCCTCCAGCGTTACGCGATGGCAGACATTACTCTGTCCGATGGCACCTTTATTCCCAAGGGAGCAATGCTCACCGTCTCCGCCCACGCCATGAAAGATGAATCCATCTACCCCCACGCGGACACCTTCGACGGCTACCGCTTCTATAACAAACGCAAAGAGCCCGGCAATGAGCACCGGCACCAGTTCGTCACGACGAGCAACGAGCATTTTGCCTTTGGACACGGCCTGCACGCATGTCCCGGACGCTTCTTCGCCGCGAACGAGGTCAAAATCCTCCTGATCCATCTGCTGCTGAAATACGACTGGAAGTTTGCAGAGGACCGGGGCCGTCCCCAGCCGTTCATGCACGGCACCGAGATCATCTGCGACCCAACTGTGAAGCTGCTTTACAAGGCACGAACACCGGAGATCGATCTGTCGAAGCTGGGGGAGTTGCCAACGGATAGTCCGTCAGTCTAGTGGAGAGCAATGGCAGAACCGTATGTATGGTACTCCGTACGAGGTATGGCAACACCGCACATATCTTGTCTTATATCATGTCCTACCTACTAGCTGTACATAAGCCACGTACGACGACATACCACTCTCACTATTCTTGCGGTGCTGTTGGAAACTGCAGCTGAACCTGTTTTTTCATGACTCGGTAGAGACCACAACACATCATCTCACGTAAGGATTCGATTCTCAGCAGACGCACGTAGCAAGGAAAACATTCTTTGCTACCCAAGCAGTAGCACGTTCAATTCGTCCACTCCAAATCAACATGACTACCTCTGATCACTTCTGTATTCGACTGCTGTTTCGTTCCTACTCAGCTAGAATATCACTATCAACCGGATAAAAATAAAATCCAAACTCAATTAAGCCCATATCCATGATTCCATGCGCGAACCTGAATCACTGCAGCTTCGTGCTACAGCACGTCAGCAATCAGCATGACTCAATGCCGAGGTACGGAGTACATGCGTGTATGCAGTCGCAAGTCGGAGTCGCCAATTGTGGACGCAAGGGAATAGCAGGATCATGCAGGTAAATGAATCTTTTCTACAAAATCGATTGATGTTGATGTTGGTAACAACTACGGTACTACTATTCATCTCCAATACGCTACAGTCATGGACCCTGATGCGTAGCCGTAGTTGAAAGTCTAGGTTTGTCCCGCGCAGTCCGTTCCATGGAAATATACAGAGTAAGGAACGGATCTCAGTAGATCAGGAGCTTGGTCTTACCGAGTCCCGAGATCTTTAATATAAGCCAAGGAGGGAACAAAGAAATCAGGTTCAGGATCTAGCTTAGCTCTAGCTCTACTCCGGAGCTCTGGCTGGCCCGTGATTCAGAGTTAGGTATCCGTATTGCCTATTAATATTCTTTAGGTTGTTTCCAGATATAGAATGGAACCTTTGTAGTCTGTCTCTTGCTCCACAAACCATAACCAGGAACAAAAAGACAGAGACAGACCACTTCTCGGTAGTGCAGTAGCAAATGCTCCAGATTGATAAGGTAGGTATGTTTGCTCTGTTCCTTTTTTACTACGCCGTCGACCCGCTGCGACGTGCATGATACGGTAATTTACCACGCGCGGAGATACGCGTAGTAGACGCGTCCAGACGCGTTCTTTACCCCTCCTTGACGCGTTGGTCTGAGCCATCCGATAAGCGAGTGATAGTGACAGTCTCTATTCCACAGATACAAATGAACAAAGACTACTGCAATTCTTTGTTGATTGTCCGCTCAATGGAGCTTCTGCTCTTTGTGGTAGTTTATTTTGACTTCAGTTGACCATCGTATACTCCTTACCAAAGATACTAATCACTGCGGGGGAAAAGGAGAACGGAGTAGTGGTTGCTACCTAGCTTGTGAGGCGGTTAGTCGCGTTTCTGTCTCTGTCGCTGCGAGTACGTGGGAGTCTGGTAGATAGTGACTAATGCACGTTCAGCCCGTGTTCACGTCGTGGTTCGTCCGTCTGGGCGTGGAGAAACCGCTTCTGCAGGAGACTGGAGTCTGACTTTTGAATCTTCTGAAAGTTTGAAACGAACCCAGCGCTAGAAGGGCTTGAATCGGGAAGGTTGAGACTGTCTTTTT